AGTAGGCCACGCCTGGCCCAACCACAAAGTGACCATATTTCCATACACAGTATAGAAAGAAAAAACATCACTAACCACAGGGTGACAATAGTAATCGTAAATCCTGGTCCAGTTAAGAACAAAAGAAAGACAGATTAAAAACGAGATTTCTGACGACAAAGTGGCTGGCTGTCAGATCATGTCTACTGTAGATAAACAAGAATAACCATATTAATCGTTTACCGCCAGATACAATTTAATTTTCATTTTTTGATAGACAAGTTAGATGTCATTGTTGTTTGTTTTAACGCAAAGCTAGACAACAGAGTATCGGCGCTCTCCTCACTGCGGGGAATCGATCCTCGAATTGTAGCGTCGTAAGTCCGTAAACTTACCTCTGACCCACCGGGAAAGAAAGACAGCCTAGAATCAATAATTAACTGTATTAAATGCTCTTTGAAATCTACTTTAGAATAATAGTCTATTAAGTAACCGAATGTAAGGTTTGAATAGTCGAATCATATGCTCTTTTACATCGACTTTAGAATAGTAACCGGTTAATTAAGTAATTACAGAAGCTGTGAATAACCACATTAAGTATTCTTTCAGATCTATTTTAGAATAGTAACCGGTTAATTAAGCAATTACAGAAGCTGTGAATAACCACATTAAGTATTCTTTCACATCGACTTTAAAATAGTAACCGGTTACTTAAGTAATTACAGAAGCTGTGAATAACCACATTAAGTATTCTTTCAGATCTATTTTAGAATAGTAACCGGTTAAGTAACCAAATAAAAGTTATAATAGCCGTATTAATCGTCCTTCGAAATCCAATACAGCAAGGCTAAATCACCAAATGCTAAAATCCTAAGTTGGAAGAATGTATCCTTTCATATTTAAAGACAAGATAAAACGAGAGATGCAAACGAATCTCGTATGTCAAGACGAGGTGGAAAGTTAAGCAAAATAGCATTTATCAAATTTAAAACTTTTTATAAAGAAACTATAGAGTGATATTAATCTCAGAGCTTGTACTAAACGGTAGAACTTGATCAGGAATGCTGACTGTAAAGTGAGTAATACGCATATGTTGTTTATATTTGTGGTTTGTTTTGTTTTTTACAGAAAAACAGATGTTTACGAGGAATGTGAGTATTTATCAAATATATTGTGAAGGTTGACAGAGAAATGACGTATAAAATTACTAATAACACGAACGGTTAAATTGATATTTGTTAATACGAATCAAGAAACATATACAAATCGTTTAGCTGCGTTTTAAAAGTTACTGAGAACACCAGTAGAAGCTAGCTATCTTGTTTGTTTGTTTGTTACTAAATTTCGCACAAAGCTACGCTATTTGCGCTAGCAGTCCTTAATTTTGAAGTAAAAACTGGAGGAAAGGTAATAAGTCATCACCACCCACCGCCGACTCTTGGGCTACGAATGGTGGGATTAACCGTCACATTATAACGCCCCCACGGAGGAAAGGGCTAGCATGTTCAGTAAAGAGATTTGAACCCGCGAGTCGAGTGTGCAAACCAAATGGCTATGTTAGGCTATTAGAGGCAAACAAATGTAATGCAGATAATGAGAGAAAATTAGTATAACAAGAAAATAAGCGCAGATAGCCCTCGTGTAGCTTTGCGCGAAATTCCAAAACAAACAAACAAGAAAATAATAGGTTATTGTTTTAATTATATCAGAGTCATAAAGATCAATAATAAACGTTTCTATAAACTAGTAATTTTGTTGAAAGTTTGTGTTTAATGTTTATTTTCTAGGTATTTATTGTCAGCTGTCACGTATTGAAAACAAAACCTCTATATATGAAAATATTTTCCTTTGCATTAACCAACTCCATAAAAAGACCTTTATGTGCATTGAAACAACGCAATTATTAATCTTCAAAACCATAAATATAAAATATTCTGTATATCTTAAGTGTGTTAGATTATTTCGATCAGCCCCCCCCCCCCACCCACACACACACCCACCTAGTGGTTCAGCGGTAAGTGTGATGACTTATAACGCTAAAGGCCAAGATTCTATACCCGTGGTGGGTACAGAACGTATGGTCCCTTGTGTAGCTTTGTGCTTAACAACAAACAAACAGATATTTAAAGTAAACGATGTGACCGCGCTGAACTATGGGAAAGAATACATATAATACAGTATAATCGCCAGTCGTGTTCACTGTTTATCAACGGCCTCATATTAGTCACAACCGAGAAACAAATATTTCTGTTTATCGATAATATTAATCTCCCTCAACCTCACTATATTTATCAGTAAGTCACGACCTTTAGAATACAACTTATAAGTCCAACTTAAAAAAACAACAAAAAAAGACGAGTTACTAGAGTCAACGCTCTCGACAGTCATAGCCTAAAGCTTCCTGTGGAAACGTCATACTAATCCTATAAAAGGTGGGGTTCTCTGGGAATAGCTCGTGCCCTGCATTTTAATTCATATTAGCGAAAATATCTATTGGAAAAATATTTTAGGCTTAGCGATCATATCTTTTGAAGAGGATGGGGGGGGGGAAGGGGTAACAGTCTTGCTGGTACGTGAGATGGGTCTTCTAGAATACTCTACAGTAAGTCTTATAACTTTGAAAGTGAACAAGATAAATATCAATCTTCTATTCACGTGATGAGTTTCGCCGTAAAAGAAAGCAGATATATCTATATTTACCAAGACTAAAGTAAAGAAGGCTTGTTTTGCGAAAAGAAAAGGCTTCGCTTTAACCTTTCCAAATTATGAGTCATTAATAAAACATAGAAATATGTACAGAGTATAAAGCAGACGTACAAAAACCTCTATATTTATAGTGTTGTAAATGAAATGTGTATTTTTGATAACTATTTGAAGTTGTTAGATATTTCTAATGATGATAGAAAGCTAGTATGTGAGCCAACAGACAAATAAAAGAGAGAGAGAGTAAATACTAAAAACTTGTAATATTTGTTTTTTCTAGCTTATTCTGAAGAAACTTTACGTAACTCGTGGAACAACACAGAGGATTTTAGTGTAGGTGGTAGTCCCTAGATGGCGAATGTTGATCCCGGGAAGAAATACACTTACATTTCATTTCTTCTTGAGTAAAGTCTGCAACAAAAATGAATAAGAAATAAACATTCAGTCAGTTTTTCTTGTTATTATTAGCTTTAAGTATAGCACCATCATGTGACGAGACTGGTGCAGTCGCCATAGCTACGACCTTGAATATGTCATAGAACATTTTCTCGTTCTTTTTTAGAAGTGATGACGTAATGTTAAATGGGAACTCCAGAGTTTACAAAAAAGCAAATAAAAACATTAAATTGATGCTAAATTGATCGATACATGGCACCTAAATTAAATTAATAACACCACCTACTTAAGTATTCATATTTATCTATGGCGGATTCTCAAGTCCGCCATTTTTTCTTCATCTTTCCTCTTAATTAATCTCCTCTGTTGTGATGTGCAAGCGCATGAAGGATACGCGCATGCGATTGGTTAATGACGCGCACCTATGTTCTCATGCGCTTTACTAAGTGTTGCAGAATCCTATGACGTCCTAATCCGCAGAAAAATATGTAAAATCTGCGAAAATTTTAAATAAATGTCTTTCAATAGATTTGAAAATTATGCGATGCATTTTCTGTGTTTAATATTTGCAGTAATAATGACTTATTACACAAACGTAAATCAAGCAGACATAACTATACTAAACAATTTACGGATAAAATAATTTCAATTTAATATATCATGAATTTTGTCACTAAAGTAAAAACAAGAGTACAGAAATATAATATATCCATACATTACATATAATTCTGTTCAACTCTGTTACACCCCCTGGTGGGGCAGTGGTAAGTCTACGGACTTACAACGCTAAAATCTAGGTGGTTACAGCAGATAGCCCAGTGTGGCTTTGCAAAAAATAACAAACAAATCAACTATGTAATAAATAATATCGTTTAAAAAATTAAATATACTTTTTTGTATGTCTGTTGTATATCATAACAAAAATAAATATGTTTATGCAAATTATATAAACTATTAACGTTCCATACTGATTACTTCACCCTCTCTCAACTAATCAAACGAACATCACTCTTACCACAAAAATTGTAGCATGGCTGATCTCGTCTGCTTACTTTACACAAACATCTGTATCTTTTTTTTTCATCTTTATATCTGCCTCCGCAGTTATACCATTTTCATTTCATCTTGCATTCTACTCTCTCTCTTTTTCTTTTCTTTTTTTTGGCCTTTTTATTTTAGTTCGTTCTCGTTGGTTTTTGACTCATACATATGTCATATCTCAACTAGAAAAATAAAAGGATCTCTTTGACAATGTACTCATCTGTTTATTAATTTTTACTCCAAATATATATATATAGAGAGAGGGAGAAGTTGGTAAAGTGGTCGACTTGAATATGTGTAGAATAGCAGAGGTCGTCGTTAATGTTCTTCATTTTTTATTTTTTGTTGATTTACCCGCCATTTCACGGATTTTGAGCTGTTCGCTTCCTTGATTAAAAGTAAGAGAAAGCTGTTGCTTATAGTTAAATCCAATCTAGTCATTCCATTTCTTGATGCCTGACTTGGCCTGGTGGTTAGGGTGATCAGCTTTCAATCTGCGGGTCGCTGATTCCCCGTCGCGGAACATGCTCGCTCTTTCAACCGTGGAACGTTATAATGTTTTGGACAATTCCAGTATTAGTTAGTAAAAGAGTAGCCCAAGTATTGACGGTGAATGGTGTTGACTAATTTCCATCTCTTTGATCTGTCCCGGCCAAATTAGGGATGGCTAGTGCAGATATCCTTCTTGTAGCTTTGCGCGAAATTCAAACCATTGCTTCAATGAGTCTTTTATTGGAATAGGCATTGAAAACATCCACCCAGTTCAGATGTTAATAATATAATTGTGTATAATTTAAACAAAGATCCACTTTTTTTAATTTGTTTTATTCATTATACGATTAAATATGAGATACTGTACCGCGGGACATATTTCTAAGTTTTTAATTTGTTGATTGCTTAATCGTTGTTTTATAAACAACTCTGATTATTCTCGCTTTTAAACTCATACGTGGAGGAATAGGCAAGTAAGCTGTCAACATTTGTAGGTCACCAGGAGGAATAGGCAAGTAAGCTGTCAACATTTGTAGGTCACCAGGAGGAATAGGCAAGTAAGCTGTCAACATTTGTAGGTCACCAGGAGGAATAGGCAAGTAAGCTTTCAACATTTGTAGGTCACCAGGAGGAATAGGCAAGTAAGCTTTCAACATTTGTAGGTCACCAGGAGGAATAGGCAAGTAAGCTGTCAACATTTGTAGGTCACCAGGAGGAATAGGCAAGTAAGCTGTCAACATTTGTAGGTCACCAGGAGGAATAAGCAAGTAAGCTGTCAACATTTGTAGGTCACCAGGAGGAATAGGCAAGTAAGCTGTCAACATTTGTAGGACACCAGCAGAAACGCAACCAAACATGCGTGTAAGACGGGACAGTATACACTCCCACCTTTATTATCTTGTTTTATTTTCCTTAACCAACAGATATAATTAAGCATACTTACACATTTAAAAAATATATATCAGAGGCGGAGTACTCCTTTAAGGCTTGAGATTCAATGTGTATTTGAGTTAACTGTTAACACGTAAAAATGGCATTGTCATTGTCAAGAAAGTGCAATTGCTGCTTGCACATGGAATTATGAAAATTTGTTTGTAGAGATACCAATTTTTCTACAAGTGTTCCCGTATTTTATTTACAATTCACGGTCGTCTTATTTTAATGAACTTGGCCGTTGTTCCCATGATATCGTCGTAGCAAGATGCGTTCCTTATTTAAAATAATATCATCGTAGCAAGATGTGTTCCTTATTTAAAATAATATCATCGTAGCAAGATGTGTTTCTTATTTATAATAATATCGTCGTAGCAAGATGTGTTCGTTACTTATAATAATATCATCATTGCAAGATGTGTTTTTATTTATAATAATATTGTCGTAGCAACAAGATGTGTTCCTTATTTATAATAATATCGTCGTAGCAAAATATGTTCCTTACTTATAATAATATCACCATTGCAAGATGTGTTCCTTATTTATAATAATATCATCGTGGCAAGATGTGTTCCTTACTTATAATAATATCATTGTGGCAAGATGTGTTCCTTATTTATAATAATATTGTCGTAGCAACAAGATGCGTTCCTTATTTACAATAATATCGTCGTAGCAACAAGATGTGTTCCTTATTTATAATAATATCATCATTGTCACTGACGACTTTGACTTATGTAATTAATATTTGGTTTCGTATTTTAATCATTGAATAAAACTTATTAGACTCTAGTTTTTTCTCTAAATGTTGTCTTCAAACGGTTAATTAGCATATAATATACGTAATTCATTAAAAGAAGATTGACTACCCCTGATTGTGCACGTGTTCTTGTTTTCTTGTTGTCTATAGTACAAAACTGTCATCGTTCACAGTAGCATCGCCTCTGACGTCGACTAATAATACATCCGACTAGAATTACAGTGTTCGTGGCCTCTCCTCTTCTGTGACTTTGTTTTGTGAAAGCGTGCCATATGCGAGGATAGATGACATTCACGTGCAACTTTTTTGAATGCGATTCTCAAAATCACTTGATAAACGGTTTTAAATGTAATTTAATAAACTCGGAGTATTAATCGACAATAAATGAATAGTGTAAATCAATATTGGATACGATTTGAAATATTATATATATACATATATATATATTATCATCTAGCTCCAAGTGGCACAGCAGTATGTCTGCAGACTTACAACGCTAAAAACCGGGTTTTGATACCCGTAGTGGGCAGAGCACATATAGCCCATTGTAGAGCTTTGCGTTTATCTTCAAACAACCAATTTGTTCATTTAATGATACAGCACCATAACAACAAGTTGTTGTTTACGTTACACTTAAATTTGAAAACGTTATTGATTTAAGTAATTTTTGCGATATTGCGAGGTTGTCCAATTTGACATTTCTGTAAAAGAGGACTCATTGTGAGTTGAGCGAGGGTTTGTCTGTATAAAACTTACATTTTAACAAGTAAACCGTGCCGACTCCGGAATTCTGAAAGTTGGGATGGCAGAGAGATGGTCTTGGGGGGTGAGGTTTTTTTCTTTTTTTAAAGCATAAGTGGAAGGAAGTCTATGAAAGATAACTTAAGAAGACCTGAGGGCTAACCAGAGATTGGATAATGTTTTGTTGGATAGGTTTTCCTTGTGGGGTTGCTTAACAACTGAAAACACTATATTTTGAGAGATGTAGTTTTTGCTAAATATTTTTAGAGAAATGTTTAAAGGAGGCAGACAAATTTCAAGGTGGTGCCTGCCACCTCTTTGTATCGGCATTGGTGTAAAGTGAGTTTAAGAAGCGTCAACACTAGAGGAATTGTTTTGAAAATATTGTAACGGACAGAAACAAATCGTATTTTGAGCGCACACCTATTGAATGCTAACTTTTATCAAAATACTTCAGGAGACTCGTATTGTTCTGGCGTTGTAGAAGGAGTGGGTATTACAAAGTCCACATATAGTGCTATCTGCAACCCAATAACACGTTTTTTTTTCCTTTGAGAGTACAAACAGTAATTACGTAAATCGTGCTTGATAAATAACAAACTAATATAAATGTAACAAAACCACAGCGTGAGCAGAAGGCGAGGGAGAGGAAAACGCCTTTATTATTAGATCTAGCAAAATAAGCGTTGATTTCCTCGTGCTGATATAGTAACCCACCCACAAGTTAAAGTCATTCATTGGGCAGTCCAGGTAGATATTGACACGCAACGAAAGAGTAAAGTAGGTGCGTAAATGAGCTACAATCCACGTTCCATCTTTCAGAAGAGTTCGCCTACGTACGTCACTGTTAACAACAACCATTAATCAGGCACGGGACTGTTGTTTCATACATACGAGGGTAATGTATAATTAGCCAGTGTGCGTGTCATTGCCATGAGCCAAATTAGACGTTTCACCCAACCTGGGTTAACAAATAACACATCATACTTTTTATTGCGCTGTGCCTAATACAAAAGAAGGTATACAGTAACTACAGGAAACGTCGCACACATTAAAGGATTCCTTTAAGATTTCTGATTCTGATTCTACTCTATTAGTCTTTCAATGTTTGATTTATCAACTATGGCAGAGATACAGCGCGTAAAGTGTTATTTAGCAATTATAACGGAAAATAATAGCAATGTGTTAGTTAACAACTGTAGCGGAGAAAAGTGGTAACGTGTTATTTAACAAATGTGTCAGAGATACAGCGGTGGTTTTATTTAACTACTATGTCGAAGATACAGAAAAACGTCATAAATGTGAAATTTAGCAATAGGAACAGAGATATAGCAAAAAAGTAACAGATCTGGTAAATGATAAATTCAATAACTGTAGCAGATACATGACAGTAATATATTATTTATCAACTGTGACGGAGAAATAGTAGTAACGTATTATTTAAGAAAATGTAACAAATACACAGAAAATGTGTTATTTAGCAACTGTGGTAGAAATACAATAATACTTGTAAACGTCTTATATATATATACCACGTTGGAAAACTGCAACACTACTTTGTATGAATATATTTTACCAACTATGGCAAAAATACAACAATACTTTGTAAATGTGTTCTTTAGTAACTGTGGCAAAGACACAGTAGGACTTTACTTTTCATAGAAATGTGCCCCTACCAACAATAAATCAAAAGTAAAAGGGGCATTAAGTTATTATCCAAACACGTGGCTCTTAACTAGCTCTGCAGCTTATAAAGCTTTTATGTTTCACCGACAACTAGAGGTTTTTCAACCGGCGTCTGCTTTAAATAACTTTCAAAATAGTCTTTTTGTTGTTGTAGCTTGTTTGATGGGCCTTATTAGTGATGGGCAGACCTCGTTGCCAGTGGCTTACAATTTAAAAAATAGTAATTCCCAGTGGTTTGCAAGTTTAAAACACAGTAGTTGCTATGATTTAAAAGTATAAAACACAACTGTTACGGTGGTTTACAAGATTAAAACATTTTTCTTGCCAGTGATTGATAAGTTTAAACATTGTTGTTACGGTGGTTTACAAGATTAAAACATTTTTCTTACCAGCGATTTACAAGTTTAAAACACAGTTGTTACGGTGGTTTACAAGTTTAAGACATTTTTCTTACCAGCGATTTACAATAATAACTGTGTTTTAAACTTGTAAATCGCTGGTAAGAAAAATGTTTTAATCTTGTAAACCACCGTAACAATTGTGTTTTAAACCGGTGGTTTACAAGATTAAGACATTTTTCTTGCCAGTGATTGATAAGTTTAAAACACAATTGTTACGGTGGTTTACAAGATTAAAACATTTTTCTTATCAGTGATTTAAAAGTTTGAAAATTGTTGTTGTCAGTGATTTACAAGTTCAAAACAAGTATTCCTACGTAATTTGCTGGTAAACTATAGCTGTGAAGAAATTTCAGTTAAAGTAGAAGTAGATGGTGTTCACCATTTTTAAATAGATGAGAGCATTATTGAGATATTGGTTAAAAGTCCTAAATATCTACGATAGTTACAATACTTTCTCATGAACGTACATCCTTATAACTCTATATAGTGGCTTTGGCTATTGTACCCGGTAGAAGTTAATTGTATTGATTATTTACGAGTTTATAATCTGGCTGAACAATTTCGAAATTACAATTCCTTGTTATGCAAATAAGGTAGAAACTATTGAAACAAAAACGAAACTAAAGTTTTTGTTGTAAAAAACATTACAATTTCCTGAGTTTCGAGGATGGCTTTTTGTTCTATTTATTTTTTGTTTGGTAATTTACTATGACATTTATTATAAGAAACACATGAGCACTATATTTTTAATCACTATTGATTACGAAATGAAAGTTAGGATAATAAAAATTAGCATTAAGTCGCTTACAAAAACTATTACTACCCTAGTCACATGTTAAATACTTAAGCATCATTTTTAGGGAAACTTAACGATGATTAAACAACTGGTTGATGAGCGAACTATGTGATTGTCTTTAATTATGCATTATAGTTCCGTGTGTGGGCGTTACGATTTGACAATACTTCAAGTGATATAATATACTGAAGGCACTGTTGATTTGTGTTAAAATTATTTTCTGATATCCACCAGTGTCGTGAGAACATTTCTTCTCTAAATCATACAGCTAATTTATCGTTTCATATGTTAGTAACAGCATAATATCAGCATCAAGGACACCGTAGAAATTGAATTAATAAATGCTGTATTGATTCATCATCCTATTGATGAATTTCTTCTTCTTTGCTGAATTATTTATTTACGTTCGTTTTTAAACTCAAAGCTACACAATAGGCTATCTGAGATGTGCCCACGGCAGGCCTTGAACTCCGATTTTTAGCGTTATAAGCTCGCGAGCTTAACCACTGGGCCACCGAGGGTTTTATTTATGTATATATA